GACCTATTAAAAAATAGTTTAATATACTATTTAAATATTCTACTTAATTATTTATTATGATTGATTTAAAAAAAAAATAATAATAATAATATAATAATAATAATAATAATAATAATAGAAATAAATAAAGATAATGATCAAAATTTACGTGATATCTTCTTTGACTATTTTGTTAGTTGCTTCAAGAAATAATGTTTCGTTTGCTGGCATTTTATGAAATACAACTTTTTGGATGCTAGATTTTCCACTTCTAAATTATAATAAAACAAAACTAGTTGCTATTCTGTTAACATATTTCAAAGATTGAAACAATGATCTTTTGGAGTCTATCTTACCCACCTCCTCTGGCCCATTATTAATAATCGTGGCCGATGATCTTGAATGGGATCTTCAGGTAGTTCTTCTCCATTCCTGTCGAGATGTAATTTATTAATTTTATTATATGACATTATTTTTTCGAATATTCAACATACCCTATATCATGAGGATTAGTATGAAGACTGTATTCTTCTTCAAAGTTCTGAGTTAAATAAAAAGAAAGGTCATACTCTGTGATTATTAACTTTGTTAAATAATATGAACACTGTCTCATACTTACTGACATCCCAAAGAATTATGTTATTTAAGCAAAATGATTACAAGAACGTATACAAGGTTTATAATTTGGCGATGATATAAAGTATAGTAAATAAATTGAAGAATTTTTATCATAGCTGATTATTTTGAGGGACAGATATCTGATTCATCAATTTATCAATTATGATTATCACTTATCACATACCCATAAAAAAGCAAATAAATATGTGCAATGTAATCAAATTTATGCTTTAAAAAACGCCGGGTGGAATTTAGAACTTACATAATTGTTTAAAATTGGTTTAACGTTCTCGTACCGATAAAGTAATATTATAAATATTATTCTGAAAATCCAGTCCGTTGGCACAATGTGAGACACAATTATGTCATCCGACTTGCAGTTATTGTACAAAAAATCATGTCATTGTAAAATGCGTCTCACAAACTCTCAACTTGCCCAATTTTTGTTATTTGCAATTTGTATATATATGTCATTATATACAAAACTAGTAGTTCAAATTCATCTTTTTTGCTTGATTTTTATTATGATACATCAAACTTTATGTGAAACATTATGATTATTTTTTTCTTGCCCGTGATTTTTAATCTTATTAATCTATGACAAGTGTGATTTAAACTTTAAGTTGTGACGCGTCAAGCCCCAATGCATTCAAGAATAAGTTCACATTGGCAATTTTATGAGATGCTTTGTCTGTTGGTAACCTTGAAGCTTGTATAACGGTTTCAAGTACTCTTTCCCTTTTATTTAGGAAAAAATATGTATATTATTACATTAAACAAATTAAACAGGAATACAATGTAATATTCAAATATCCAAGTATTAAATTAAATAAACATACCTCACTTCAGTAACCAGAATATGTTGTTGTTCCGTGGATGCACCAACAGCCATTGCAGCAAGAAACTGCCACACATACATATCATCAATTCCAATCATGAATGGTGGGTATAGTGATATAAAATAAGTTTGCAGGATACTTAATAATCGATTATATAATTCTTGCCTAAACAAAGTAAACGATGAATAATCAAACTTAAATTAATCAAGATTTATAAAATTTAAATATAAATTTAATCTGAACCCACCATTGTATCATCTCTAGTTCTTCTGGTGGTGGCAATCCTTGCATGGCACCACCTCCTTGTTTTAAAATTTCAGCACGACTTAAAAACATTGTTAAAAACGCCAAACCAACCTATTATATAACCAAATAAGG